TTCTAGACTTAGCTAAAATAGCCATGGTGTTAATGAAGAAAGGATAGGACTTTTCTCCACGTCAAACCTCCATTTACTCAATTACTGCAGTGGGAAAGTGTGCGTTTTACAACTATTAAAAATCTGTAAAGAAAGTACTTTTCTTGATAGTCAGATCAGCGTTTTGATGCATACTCAGAATTAACACTGGAGAATGCTGTTTGCATGTCAAACTTTGATCTGTCTCCATCATGTTTAGAAAAGTCGGGCTTGTTCTTGTCATAGCAGAGTAGCTATATACTGGATTTATTGCATCTTTTGCATTAGTAGAGGACTGTAGATTGAGTTTTCAGGCCGGAGCTACACAGGCACTTTCAGCTACATACATCATAATAACGTGTCCCTCGTTTCCCTGGGAACGTTTAAGAACTCCTTTGCCCTGCGTCTGGGTAGGACTGTTAGAGCTGTGAGCTGTAAACTGTTGAGCAGCAGTTTCTCTCCTCTGGCACTTAATGGGAGTTGCTACTGTTAAGACTTACTGCACCTTGATGCTCTACATTATTCCCTTTGAGAAGGTTTATACTCTAATGAATTCAGATACTCTCTAAGTACACTCCTCTGTGCTGCAGTAAACTTGATTTATCAGAAATAAATTAAGTTTAATGAAATCAAATATAAACTACTATAAAGCAAAGTTCTTTATTTAAAGGCACATGATGTTGTGCTGTTTAGATAGTGACATCTTTCTTTTAATGCTGTAATTTTCAGCGTGGAATTAGGATAGACGAGTTTATAGTGAGCACCACAGGAAAGGCTGTGTTGACTTTTTCCCTTGTGTCACCTGAACTGTGCAGTTCTATAACTGTAGAGCTGTCTTACTCAACTGTTTTTAAAAAACAAAAACAAAAAAAAACCCAAAAAAACCCAAAAAACTGGACTGATTTGTCCTGATGAGTGACAGTTTCCATTGCTGATTGAGTGCTTAATTTATAGGTCAGTTTGGGAACTGGGAAATTCAATCTTCAAGCTATTACCTTGTCTTTGAATGTGTTATTCAGGTTTGCGTTGATCATGTTTGAAGCAATAACTTTAAAACCTTGTCTGGACCTCTAAAGGCATAACGCTGGATTTGGCAGGGGGTAGAACATGTTCTAATGCTGCAGCTTAGAGCCTCGAGAAACCTCCCTGAGCATTTTGCTGAAGATGCACACTTAAAGAATCAGTAAAATAACACCAATAGCCATAACTTCTATACATGTGAATTCCCTGACTGTTTCCCTGAGTTGTCACTTTTTTCGGAGGAGGGTGGGAAAGCAGCCTATACACAATGCCTGTAAACAAGAACTAAGTTCTTGTTTAACTATTCCCGTGCCACCAATTTTATTAACTTCCTTTCTGCAAGTGGAACATGCCAAGATTTTCTAACTAGACCAATCTCTAGCTCCCTTTCCGCGCTGATGCAGAGCTGTTGAATGCGAAGGGCATCTTGTGTGTGAACACAGTGCAGCTAAGGAAAATAGGGCCTCTAAAACGGTGACAGGACAATGGGCTTAAGAGACTTTGACACGCTTCTGGTATGTACAGGTGTGACCTACTGCGCTGTTAACACCAGTGGGCTACATCTGAGTTACTGCATGTTCTTTGGATTTCAACATACTGTGTGGTTCCTTTACAAAACAGTGAAATTATGGTATGTCGCGGCTACCAGAAGTGTGATCAAAGTACTTATGTGGCCTGGGGTAGCAGTAAGCAGTCTTTCGGCTTAACACACATGCATCCGTCTCAGAACTATTAGAGAAAAATGAGGCTTAAAAATCTTGTTCCTGATATGAGCTGCAGAGCTAGTATGTTCAGTTACAGGTCAGTGTATCTGGTAGCAGTTACAGTCTTTTCTCCTCACCAAAGCTCCAGGCTAATCTTACCAATCGGTCATGCCCAGAGTACCTGAATCCTACCCTGTGTAGTGCCTTTTTATGAGCAGGTATGTTGGTGCTCACAGCTTTCCCCTGCGTCCCTGCTTACATGAGGAATTTTGTTGAGGGAGAAATATCAATGTTAGGTGAATGCAGAAGTATTTGAGTTCAGACTGAAGACAGTACTTCAGAAAACAAAGATTCCTCCCCGTTTTTGAGCAAAGATGCCAGCTTTTTGCCTTAGCAGGGACAGAGTTGGTAGACTGTATTTGCCAGGTCTCTGAATAGTTTTAGGGGTGAAGCTAATTTAATTATTTGTGGCTTAATCCTGCACCGAGGCTTTGTGGGTGCACCTCCTAGTGTCATTGGTCGAGCGCTCTGGGAACTGTGTTGCGTCTTAAGCTGGAGGTTGGTATCCACTGGCATGGTATGAACACGCTTGCATGCTCCTAGCTGCTGAGAGTAAATTGGCAAGAAGTAAAGGGAGGGGGTGACTACAGACACAAGGGAGATAAGTAGCATCTTGATGGGAGGGAGTAGGTTGCAGAGACCTACCGCAGTTTGAGGGAGTTCCCTGGTGCCCAGGAACCAGCCGTGTTCTGTTTGCAGCTCTGCAGCAGTGTGTTAGTACCTAGCAAAAAAAACTGTACTGGGCCAAGCTGGGGTCTCTTCAGCCCGGTATCTTGCAAGGTTTTTAGGGCTGGGCTGAGAACGTAGTGACACCTCCCTGTTCACCTGTGAGTCTTGAAGTAGTCCAAAAACCTTTCTACCTTGTTACAGCTCTGTTAAAGGCAGGTATTACTGCCCAGACAATGAGCGCGGGGAGTTGACTTGCTCAAGCCATATCATGAGTTGATATGATTCGAAACCCAAATTTGAGCATAATCCCCTTAAATGGGCTTGCACCTCGTCTTTAGTGTGCCATGTCTGTGCGCTAGGTCACTGCGTGGACACGTAGCAACCCCTGTGAAACTGCTGCACAAGAAGGGGCTTACTCTGCAAGGGCACCTTTGCCTGGTGGTGCTGGAGCCCCTGCGCTGTGCCCCCTGCTCTTGCAGCTCACCTGTATCTGCTGCTTTGTGCACTGGCTGACCTGGCAATGTCTAGTCTTCCAACTGACAGATCTTTGCAGCTAGCAGGAACTGGTGCTGTGTTGTGATTGCATCCTCATCTGAGGAACACAAAGCAGAACTGAAACGATTTTCCTTGCTGACAAATAGCCTCTAAGTAAGTAGCCTCATTTTCCTGAGGTTAATGCTGTTTCAAATACCATAACTTGCAGGATGCGTTATTCCCAAAAGCATGTAAGGAACTAGGTTCTGCTCCAGCTGATGCGTGTTAGTGAGCTGCACTTCTCACAGCTGAGGGCTCTTATCCAGCACTGCGGGGGCCAGTTCCTCCTTTATAGCCCCGTGGCTCGCTCTCCTTAGGGGGAGCCTCTGGGCTGCCCCATGGGGTGTGGTCAGCTGGATAGACAGACAGGTGCTGGGCCTGGGGCTGGTGGTGCAGCCTGTCCTCTCCAGCCAGTTCCCAGCTCTCCTCTGCAAGTGGTAAGTAATGCTGTCAGTGCGGTATTTGATAGCGCTGGCGGAGAGGGGCCCTGCTCGAGCAGGATGGCTTTGTTGTTGTAAGCAGTCAAGTTATTCAAGCCTGTTGGGGACTCCTCCCAAGCCCTCCGTGTGCTGTTGAAAAGATTCGGGTGGTTTTCTTCAGTGGAAGTTTCTGCTTAGAAGCACTGCTTTGAAATTGAAAATGTTAAGAGTAATAATGATACAGGGTCAAAACCAAATTTCCAAAATGTGTCTGTCTGTCTGGGTTTTTTTGCTTGCAAAAGTTTATTCACTTAGTAGAGCTATTTTTAATTTAATTTGTATTTTGTATGCAGTTGGTTTGTCAGCAGCTCCTTCACGAGTAATGCTGGTGGTGGGGTTGCCCTGTGAGAGGCTGGGCTGTAACCCCAGGGACGTGGGGCCTTGCGCTCTGACAGTAAAACAGCAGTCTCATAGTCACGATGCACTCAAATTTGCATCGTTTAAGGAAATTAGTCCTTAAAAGGCTTGTGGTCATCTGTCCGCTTTCACCATCTTCAGTACAGGATGGATGTGCACCTGGAGCATTCCTTACACGTTTGCTTAGTCTCCAACACAAATAGAGGCAGCACAACTCTGAGAGGCAAACTGTTGTGTATTTCATTTGAGAACTGTTGCACTGTGTCAAACCAAGATACAAACCGTCTCCACCTGTGGCTAGGTCCAGGTGCTTATGGGTGAGTATAGGAGAAAAGGGCAAATGGGGACCTTCCTCGGTATTCCTTTGAACTGAGGAACTTCACTGCCACAGGACGGTCAGTAGACCTGTCCTCTGTGACTTTGTCCAGTTCCTTTCTGAGACCACTTAGAGCACGCACAGTGTCTGGGGCCGATGAGGTCCACCGTTTCAGTGTGTACAATCATGTATTTAGCTTACTCTGCTTTTCTGTGTACCGTTCAACTGAATGTGCCTCATGTTGTAGTACTAAATAGTAACTCCTTCATGCTATTTTTTGTTTAAGATTGTTGTATCGTGTATCATATCTTATCCTCCCTAAATTAATCCTTTTCTGTGGAGTCTCACGTTCTGTTTAATCTCCTCCTGTATTTCATGCCTTTCTCTGCCCTTCTCTACATCTTGTTCCTATCCTGAGCTGGAACGCTTGCAGCTTTCACATAGGGGACATCGGAGATTTACAGGGGCACAGGGCCGTTCAGCGTCTTGCCTAGTCTTCTCCTAGTAAGTCCTAGCAGCCTGTGTCTCTTTTAAAAGCTACTGAGCAATGAGGCGGTATGTTAAGGGTGCTGTTGAATCCAAGATTTTTCTTGATTAGTTATAGCTGGTTTAGAGCCCACCATTATGGAGATATGGCCAGTTGTTTTAGTCTGTACTATTCTGTGTGATAGTAATTTGATCACTATTGTTGAAATTCTGCATTTTGATACTGAATTTTATTTTCTAATCACGCTATAGATAACTGTATTATGCAAAACATTGCAGTTACCTTTTGACTTGATTGTTCTGATTCTGTATTTAAGCATAGAATATTGAACCTGAAGTACTGCACCATAGCTGCCTTTCTTCCTTCTTCCAAACTTTCTCTTTTCCTTTTTTTTTTTTTTCCCTTCCCTGGTTTCATTAAAATTCTGTGCACTTACAGACCCTCCCCATATGAGGTAATTTGACGCATTGGTATCATGCATTTAATAAACATACTCTGTTTTTTTCATAATCAAAATTACTAAATAAAAATGTATCAGATTCAAGATAGATCCTTACAGAATATATAACAATTAAGGAAAACTTTTGCATGGTTTTAAATACTGACTTATTTTATACCACTCAAAATACTTTTGCAAGCTCATCATGTACCTAATACATCAAAATAAGCTAGTATTAAAAAGGGGGGAGGGGACATGGCAATGCCTCATCACACAAATGCTTGTACTCTATTTTCTTTTTCAGTATGCCTACTTAATATAAATACTAACAAGGTTAAGATATTTTCAGAAAGAATGAATATAAATTCTGGAAAATTAATTGAAACCCTAAAGGAAGGTGACTAAATCGCAGCTAGAACCAAATGTGCTCTTCCAAGCTTCCAGAAAAATTTCCTGTAAGACACTGAGTACTAACAAAGAGCTGTGAAAGCAAATGTTCCCTCATCCCCACCGGTTGTCTCGTGATTAAGTTCAGCTTGAGTGCCTAGTTTTATGTACCCTCTTTAAAGAGGGCATCTCTGCTATGGGGAAAGGAGAGTGTGCAAAATGGAAAGCTGAGAGCGCATGTTCTAGGTCAGGGTTTCCCAAGACTCGATGCAGGTGTGGTAGCAGAAGCTGCTCTCGGGTCTGGGGTGGGAGCAGCAAGTGCCAAACACTGAGGAAGCCCTGGGCTGGGTAGAGAGGGGAGCCGAGAGCTCCGAGGGTCCGGAAGCCGGGCAGAAATGAACGTTACCGTTCAGTTAATGCTTCTAAGCTTAAAAGGGTTTGGATGGAAAAAAGTAGTTTTCTGAAAGAGAGACTTAACAGTGTGGGTTAAGCGATCACTTCAGTGAAAGCAATGCCGATAGCTTCATTTGGACTTGATTTCTCAAGGGGCCAGCAAGAGTATAGCAGATGGAAGAGAGTTTAGTACATGATACCTGAAGTAAAATGCTTCACTTCACATCAGCTAGGATCTATCTAGACTTTTTAGGGCCTCTTTTGTTAATTTAAGCTTTAAAGAGCTAAATACAAATTGACAGAAGCCAGAAATCAAATGACAATTTTAATAGACTTTAGAACAGAGTGTACGAGTATAAAACACTGGTTTTGTATTTCAAAAGTTGCAGGAAGATAGCCAGTCATTTTAAACAGTCTTCTACAAAACGTATGCCAGTAGATTACATAAAAGACACTATATACAATATAAAAGAGCAGAAAACAATCCTCACTGTAAAAATAATTTAAAACAAAGTATTTCAATTTAAAATATCTCCTATAGCACAAACTAATACATTGTGACATGCAAGTGAAAACTAAACATATTGCATTCTTTAGTATAGCCAAATAAGAGCTGTATTAAATTTGGATCATGAGACAACATGCCAACATTTTTAGATGAATAGAGAAGGCTGTTCTTTAAATATTTATTAACAAACTGTTGTATCTTATGTATGTTCAAAGAACAGCTACTATACATCTTCCAAAATGTAATAAATATTAAAGCAAAGTATATGAATAATCTACATCTGTAGAGTTCATTTATTTGGGCCAATGGTGAAAAAGTGGTTTATAGAAAAATGTTGTTTTGTTTACTACTGCGCTGTGCCATTAAACAAAATAGTTCTAAAGGCTTGGAAACAAGCTGCTCTTGAAAACTTGCACCATCCAGTTTTAAGGCAGCCTAGCACTTGAAGATACAACATAGTCATTTCAGTAGCTGCTTTGCTTTTAATATGCAGGGTGGAGCTAGCAGGTGGAAAATTCTTCTCCCAACCTGCGACCTGTCCTCAAAACAGAGTTCTTTCAGGTTAGGTTATTAACGTGCACTTTATCTGCTTAACGGTGTAAGCAGAGGGTTTTGATATTTGAGCGAGTTTCTCTTGTTTCTGTAGCATCAGAGGGGGTTTTTGGGTCCCTCTCATACTCTGCTAGCAGTACTATTCTGGACTCAGCCTAGCTTGCATGTCAGAACCTTGGCAGCTTATCAAAAGCTATTTTTATGCAAGCTGCACCAATTTTGTATACAACATGAAAAACCTCTACTGTAGGGGATCCATTTTGTTTAAAATACCAGTATTATAATAGCTAAGGAGCCAATGTCAACATTGCTTCATGTCCACAGGAAGTATTAAACTCAGTAACTTAAGCATGATATAGTTTCACAGCACTTTTTGATCAGTCTCAAAAACATAGTAGGATTTTTCAAGTGCTCACTATCTTGTTTCCATTTTTAACTATCTACTCACATTTAAGTATGTCTCAAACATACAAAGTAGCTGTTAAAGCAAAAATTAGCTGCCACAGTAGGTCTTAGAAAATGCCAGTGTTTAATGACAGACTATGCAAGAATGAAAGGTTTAGCAGAAGCATAAGGTTTTAAATAAACCAAACTGTTACAAAGCAAGAGGTGTAAAAATACCATTCTTTGGTCTAAATTAGCTGTTCCCTTTATATTAGTTTAACATTCCAATGGCTTTTTCAAAAAACTGTTTTAAAATAATATAAGCTGAAATTCATTAAGCAAAAATATGTATTATATACATGGATGCCTGATCAGACAGATGAACTTAAAAGCAAACAGTGACAATTATTTAGTACCTTTAAAAAAAAAAAAAAAAAAAAAGAGTTAGTGTTGAGTGCGCAGTAATAGAATTTTATTGAAAAAGGTAAAAAACTAAGCATGAAAATCTGTTTTAGTTGTTTATAAACACTACATCCTTATGGTTCTGTTGCTCTAAATTCAGACGTAAACATTCATTCTGACATGCCAAAGCTCCTAATGCTGGTGGAAAGTTCCTGTAACCAGTCAGTGATTACTTTACAACTTGTTGCTTGTTGGATGATCAGTCCCTGTGGCTTCGTTTATATAAGCTGATTCATCTGCTGCATCTGGTTCAACTCCATCTTCCCCAAATCCATGTTCCTCTTCCCTTTCTGGAGCATCCTCATCCTCTATGCCATTGTAGAATTCCTCAATCTCGCTCTCATCTTCCACATCTAAGCTCTGGCTATGACATGAGCCACTTTCACTACTACTGCCACAAGAGCTAGAAGATATGATATCATCTTCAGAATCCGAGTACACCTCAGCACCATGGAAAATATAGCGATTTGGCGGTAAAAACAGATACTGAGTACCTGAAACAATTTGAAAAGTGAATAAAAAGTTAAAGTGAATTAGAGTCATATAAAATGTTGCAGACTTCTGGTTAGAAAGTATCTACATATATGTATTTTCAAAAGCAATATTTAACTGACAAATCAAATTATATTAGAAACCCATTTCTTCCAGTGCATTATGAGCAACAGTACATACCAAGTGCTTCACTGGAAAGCTAAGCAAGCGTTCCCTCTCCCACCTGCCTTTTGCATAAACGAAAGCATTTTAACTTTGATAATTAGCTGCTTTTTTCATTGATGCACATTGTATTCACAGCTAGATTTCCATTACTTAAAACACCGAATTGGAACCCACCACACAGGGTACTGGACAAAGTTTAACAACAGCCTTTGTTTTAGACAGTTGCAGTTATAAGTTATCACATGGAAAAAATGAGTGAAAAGGGATATTATACATGAGTTAGTTAATAGACTGCATAGCTGGGGGTTTCTTTGCAAAGGTTTCCTTCAAAATGTGCCTAGTTCCAGTTGTACAATTTGCTTTTTAACTGGTACGGTGCCTTCATCATTCAGTTCTACAAGATGGCTGCCATGCTGAATTATGATGTAGTGTGACCAGCTTCTCAAAACCTGAGGATCAAACCAGTTTTTCTGAAAATGCTTTTGAAAGTGTTAGGAATACTGATTTTTTTGATTCTTAGCTTCAACCTCTTAATTTTGATCTTTCTAAGGAGCATGCGATCCCTGATTACAAAAAAATTACAAAAAAAATTTCCTACTACCTTCTCCAAAACAAATAAAAAATTTATGTAGTGGTGAATTACAGTTTCAGTAGACACTTGCCTAAACAGAAGTAACCATAAAAGAACACTGATGCCCTTAAGGGCAACTTACCTGTTGCTTTAAAGTTTGTCTAGAATCCACATCCCAGTCAAAATATGCAAAACACTGAAATGAGTTAACACTTACCATCCAGCCTTTTGCTGATCTGTTCTTTTGCAGATCTGTTTACCCAGCACTTCCTCAATATTTCATTTTTTTCTCTATTTTCTCCATTGTTGGATCCATTTTCCTTCATTGGTTCAGAGTTCATTAATTCACTAGTAGTATTTCCAGGGCTCTCTGAGGATGTCTGCGTGTCCTGAAGCTTCTCCTCTGTGCAGATCGCTTTAGTTTCTGAGGCAGGATCACAGTTTTCTACCTTGCATTCAGCTGGGTGTTCTGAGGGCACCACCGAAGTATCTGGTGGAGTCGTTCTTTCTGGTGAACTAGAGTCTTCTGAAATGTTTAAAGGGGTAGGTGGTAACTCAGATGAGTGCATGTCAAGCTCCTTCTGTGTTCGTGGAGGCTTTTCTGTTATTTCAGAAAGTTTTACTGAGTTGTAGCAAAGTTTTGTATATTCACTACCTAGCCTTTGACATAATTCATTAATAATAACATCACAGTCTCCAAGAAGCTCCACGTCGAAGTGTAGATGTGGCAAAGGTTCCCTATTAATTAAGATTTGAGGCACTTCATGAGGGATGGAACCTACATGCAGAAAAGATATTTAAAGAAAGAGAGCCACTTAAATTTTACTTTTTATGAGCAAATTATTTAGAAAGTTTGGTTTCTCAGTCTTTATGTATTCATTCGCAACAAAACCAAAATAGGCAGACTGGGAATAAACTAAGCAAATCTCAAATTTACTGAAACCAGAGCAGCAATTGCAGGTGCTATGCGTACTGTAGTCTACCTTGATTCCTCCCACCATTTTTTTCCAATATGAAGCGGTTCCTCTTCTCTATCACTAAGAAATGTATGCACAGAAGTATTGACTGCCATTAGTAAGTTTTGTCAAGTGCTGAAAAGATTGTTAAAAATAAAACTGCAGTCTCTGAGAGAAATGGCATGAATAGCACATTAATTTCATGTACTTTAAAGTCCACATGAAGATTATATTGCTGGTAAATTACATCCCCTTTATTAGGTCAAAATACTTGCAGGTACATACAGTCTATGTGGTGTAGGGTTGCTCAACCCTCTTCTAATACTTAGGGTTCCAAAACCCACCCGTTTGGTGACCTTGGATGCCAAACTAATGAAACCCAGTTCTCAGACAGGGATAGAACAATGGTTTGTGTGGTGGATCCCAGCTTTCTAGTCCCCACACACGTCCCATTGGCCTAAACGCAAGGCTCTACCTCCTGCATAGCACAGAGCACGTTACTACGAAAGGCACTGAGATGGTTCTGTTCCCAGTTGGCAGCAGGTGTTAAGTGCATGCTTTCTCAGGCTTCAATTTGAACAGCATTTCCTTAGTCCCAGCAAGTCTTGCATTCAGTAGGCAAATAAGTCACCTGCAATGATATTTTTCTCAGCCTTTCTGAAGGACATTTTTCTATAATGTACGTTAGTACAGATGTTTTTCCTCATCACTTTTAAAAGCGAAGGATACAAGACGGTCACATGCTATACAGTGCCCACTGCTCGTTATTTAACATTAAGTACCAACTTTAAAATAAGCTGTGGCTCAGAAACCTAATGTACTGAAACGTAGCATCAACAAAACTAGATCCGTCTTTCTAAAGACGAATCCTTTCTAAACCTTTCGAGTAACTCTGAGAAGTTAACTGAATCTCATGACAAAGTCACTCAAGTTTCAGCAAAGTAGTTTTTTAGATTATAGTTTCATTACTTTGAGATCTATACTCTGCCGGGGGGGGGGGTGGAATCTAGAAAAAGCGTATGGTCTCGGGGGGGGGGGGGGGGGTGGAATCTAGAAAAAGCACTCAATTTTCTAACTTTGTCTACTTTGCAGCTCAACTTTTACATAGGCAATCAGATTTTGTCTTAGAAAGTCAGATGACTAACCTAGTTTCTTCACTGAACCAGGATATAAACATTTCTTAGAGAACTTAACTGTGAATTGTAATTTTTGATCAATTTTTTTAGAAGAGAAATTTATCAGAGGTAGTCACTTACTTGGAATCAACGCTACTGGTCTTACTTTCAGCGAAGACCCAATAACAATAAGGAGATCAACTTCGTTTTTGTCATACTTCATGGCACGATGGAACTGCTCAGGTAAGTTCTCTCCAAAGAACACTATGTCTGGCTTCATGATAGCAAGCGGTTCATCAGGTGGACATCTGGGACATCTAGGAACGACCTGTGTTACAACAGTTCACGTTACTGCTGTGGCCGCCAGCCGAAAACCTCAGATTTTAACAATTCACAATGACTTTATTTTGGCAAAAGACAAGGAGAGTTGCAATGGTATTTGATCTTTTTGGTCCTCTGTGGATGTACTGACAAGGGCTTATCTTATTCTGGTCTTATTCTGCAGCAAATGCACGCAGAAATAAAACTAAGGTAGAAATAAAGAGGGAGTTCTTTGAAATCAAAAAGGAAAGACACCACAGTCCTTATCTGACAACCAACCCGAACTCTAATGTGTACTTGCCTTCTGATAGAAACATCTTTAGTCAGAACCAAAAAGTAGATTTCACTGTCAGTTGCCATTATAGGGTTTGATATAAAACCCTTCCTATCGAACAGCGTGTTACAGAGCTTTACCTCTCTGCTTTCTCCTCTCCCCTAAAAGGATACGTGCAAGTTATCTGCATAAAGCAACATGGCACCGTAGCAGCTGGCTAACAAAGAGCACACAGAACAAGAACATGGGAAAGAACTTTTGTTTGGTCTCCATTTTAAACTTTCTCCGTCCTCCAAAAACAGAGCAGAATGCTTGGTTCACTAAAAAAGCAGATGAGCATGTTTGTGAGGAAGTAGACTCCCTTTCCTCCTGAAGCCAGAAGGTTTTTAAGTATTTGGGATAGCTCTCAGCTCTTCCCTGTCTTAAGACTTGTTCAGGGAGAAGAAAAGCAAAGAAGGTGAGTAATGTGAGTATACGCAGATAAGACTTAAATTATTACTGAGCAATTTTTCTTTCGAAATGGTTCAAGTCGTCTCAGCTGTAGTCTCAAAGTGCGACAGCCCAGAATAAATCTAAGGAGCTCTCATTAAACATGGCTGCAGTCCTACAGCAGTCATCACAAGTAAATTAGTGCTATGTAAAGCTGTAAAGACAAGTATACTGTCTATTGTAATAGGAAAATATATGGAAACATATTTAAATGCGTAACATCCCCCTCTTGTACACATCATTACAAAAAAAAAAATACAGAACTTAGTTTAAATCAGAGAACCAATTTATGGACGTCTGCAGTATGACAAAAGACGATGCTTTCCGTATGAGAAAGCATCAAAAGCAAAAGGCCTTTCTCTATAGTACTAATGCACCTCTCCCAAAATTCAAGTCTTAAACGAAGAATCTAATCCTTCTTTGAAGAAATCCTTGTAGGAGGGATGCCCAAGAAGCAGTATGGCAAAAGAACTAGAAAGTGATATGGAGAAAACCTTCCTGACATACCCAAGCTAAAGAGTGTCTAGTAACCCCCCATTAAAGGGAAACCAACTAATGAATTCCCCAAAAAGGGGCAGGATGACCTTGAGATTTTCCCTTGGCTCTTTAACGCCACATATTGGAAAGAGAGAACATGCAAACGGCTGAAAAGGCTTTTCTGAAGCTTTCTACCCTGCTTTGTCTCTTCTGTTGATGTCAGTGATGCCTTTGCCCTTACTGGAGGCTTAAGGAGGGAAACGTGCTCTGTATTAGGAGGAAGATGAAATGAAGACCTCTAACTTTTGATCCAGTTTAAAGAGACCAAGTAGCAGTAGCTCTGTTTCCAGCATCTCCCACAGGGAGTCAAATGACTTGTGATTTAATGGATTTCTGTAGAACAACTGATGCCCCTATCCAGCCAAATCATTTGAGTCACTGTAAAGGGCCCATAAATACATGTTTTCAACACTACAGGTCTTTCACTCACCAGCTTCTCTGCTAATCCTCAGAAAGGTCGTCAGTAAGAGGGAAGATCTATTCCAAGAGCTGAAATTGATACCAAGAAGTTAAGGCTAGTAATTGGCCACTCAATTGCCTAGGGTCCTCTTTCAAGAAGCACCCCCCCAAACCCCCACCGCCTCTGCCAGTGTGTTTGTCTAACGAAAGAAAAGTGGAATTTCTCATTGACTGTTGATGTTACCAGTATATCAGAGGTAGATAAGTAAAGATTTATTCAGGTTTAAGAATATCCAAAAAATGGAGCATATTTTCCATTCCTTAGGCCTTTTTTTTTCCCCTAAATCTGAGACCCACTACCTTTCATCATTTCTTGAAGCTAGCTGAAATAGTCAGAAACAAAGTAGAAAGATATTTTCCAGAAGTAACTGGAGGAAAAATGGTTTTGCTCAGAAGTTTGTTCTGCATGATTTATAACTGCTGCTTCTGATCGAGAAAGATGGTTGTGTACAGCAAACTAGAGAAAGAACTATGCGCTTTATCTTGGAAGCGGCAGAAGAATGAAGAGCAGCAGCAAGAAACTGGCAATTTTCTATACAGATGATCTTGCGCAGTTCTCAGTCCATAACATGTTGAAAGGACATTCCTGACAATAAGATGCTAGCTAGTTACTTTCTCATGAAGCACTTAGACTGAAAATTAAGACCATCAGGGATGGACCAGAGCAAAGAAAAGGTATTTTTAAGGAAAACTGAGGACCCATGGCCACATACAACTGAACTTTCAAGCAGTGGAAGGGAGCAGAAAAGGAAGACTGGACTCTGTTGGACTTTAGATCCCCCAAACCATTTTTGGGAAGGCTGGTCCCTGTTAGAGAACAGAGCTGTTGAAATGTACAGTCATTTGTTTAGTAAGTACAGAAATAGTTTCTTTTAAGGAACCCAGTTCTGTATTCTAGGGAGGTAACAGAAAACAACAAACCTGAGTAGTATTAGGTTGGAAAATGGGAGAGTACAGAATAAAAAGAAAATAACGGCTATTACAACAATTTCTTCAGAGGCATAGAGGAAGGAGGATGCATTTTATTTCAATAGCTCTATTTCTTCCTGTGCAAAAGTATATTCAGCAATAACCCTATTTATATTGCAGTATAAAAATCAAAAATTCATATTACGGTTCAAGCCTGTCCTAGAGAGATACACCTTGTGTACTGTAAGATTACAGCTGAGAGACTGAGTGTAAAAGACTTCTTCAATCTCCGTCTTGGGAATAAGACCCCCCTCTGTTCTCATTCTTCAGAAATATCGCTAGAGGTTTCTCCTGGTCCCTTCCTCCTCCCCAGGCTTCCACTACTGGCACCAGCACAGAGCTTTGGCCTCACCTGACAGGGCTGTTTTCCTGTACTGCCGAGCCCGGGACTTCTTAAGAGTTTTAGAAAGCTTGAGCAAACACACACTCGTCACTGCTTTTCCTCAGCAGTTTGTGAGACCAACCCAGAATTACTGATTGGATTTGAATGGGAAGAAAAAGGTGGTTAAAATACCTAAACGGTTAAGAGAAAGTCTCTGTTTCCTTGCACAATGGCAGAAATTTGGCTGTAAGGATAAAAGTACAATGATTAAAGCGTGAGGAAAAGGAGTTCTGACCACTAACAATCAAACCAGAAAACTACAAAATGCTTAGGGACGGCTGTTTAAGGGAGGAAAAAAAAAAAATCATTTTGAGGTAAAGGAGCAACAAACATCTATAAGATAAGTAGTATTTTAAAATAACAACAATAACGTAATAACAATAATAATTAATAAGTTGTTTCAAATTTAACACTTGAAAGATTTACATCTCATCATGTTTCTCATTTAAAACAGTCCCTGACCATTTGTATGAATAAGCTGATTTTGATCAGGCAGTCATCATCTCTGCTCTTTCAAAAGAAAGGGAAGAACAACAAAGAGGGTCAATAAAGGGTCAAACAACAACAAAGGTTATTTTACTCTGTTAGAGCAAAACTGGAGTAAAAATAGTACTTTTGGCCCTTGAACACTTCACACACAAGCAGGGAGTCCAGAATACAGAATAGTTCAGAAGTCCTAGAAGATAAGATGCAGTTCATGTACCATTTGATCCTCTTCCTTACTCAACAGGAGCTGCTCCATAGTTAGCAATTTTTCCATGCATCAGCTACTATTTAAACAAATTTTTACTGTAGATAAAGGCTCAAAGAGCAACCAATGTTATAAATGGCTTGAGAATGCTTTCTCGGTATGACCGAGTTCACACTAATATGTTAGGCATAAATCCAACTTTCTACTTACCATCTTAACCTCTGCTTTTCCCAGAGATGCCATAAAAATGGACTCCTAGAGTTTTGTTCCATTTTATTCCTGTTACCTATTTTTCTGCAGTATAGTATTTGAGTATACTTTTAAGTATTAGAGGAAATGCTAAAATACAGATAGGCACTTTTAGGAAATATATACAAAAAATATATAGCCTTTTAAAAGAAAATATAGAACTTTAAAGCAATCCAAGATTTAACAGTTCCTATTAGAAAGCCGCTGTGAGTTAAAGTAAATTTTTACCTGATTGAAAATATCTCCTCGAACAACTTCACAGTCAACTTTGTATTTACAGATCAGGCAGGAAGCTGTTGCAAAGGAACCTGAGGGGAAAAACCCACATGATAGAAATGAAGATTTTCAGTAGTTCAGGTTTGCTCTGTTTGGCAAAGATGCTACGATGCAAAGAGTGTTATATTGCAGTGCTAAAAAAAATAATAATAAAACTCAGAAAGTAAAGTTAAAGGAAGATACTCGTAGTATTAAAGGCAATTCTTCTAGATGTTAGCAGAAATCTTGTTTTAGAGGCAGGATATACCATGTGCATAACACCACAAATTATATTCTGTGTCCCCTTGTGCCTCCACCCAGTGAAAGCATATACAAGGAGGGGTAAACATCGCTTTCCCTTTCCTCTTTACAAAATTAACAGTGGTGTTTCTTAGAGTTTTGTAAAAAAACAAAGCTACTTTTAGGAATGCCAACTAGTGAAGTACTCTTGGTAACAGAATCTAAACTAGTGCCAGGAGGTACCCTGCGATGAAGGTGGGCCTTTTTCAAAGATCAGGATTACTGTGAGTGGTAGCACCTTCAGTAGCAGGTCCGTTGCAGGCAGGACCAATTATTCCTTCCTTTTAAGGGTCAGCGTTACAGCTGCTTGAAACACTTACCCTGTGACATGCTGTTCTCTCTGCCCTGCTAGGAGAATGAACTAGAACAGCCCTCTATATTCTTAATTTGAGAGCAGGGGTTACTGCTGTTAACCTAGAAAACATCTGCAGTTCCAGTATCAATGTTGACACCAGTATTGTGTCAGGTCTCACAAACAGGCCAATGCTGCTTTAAGGAATTTGTTTGCCAAGTCTACTAAATGATCCAGATTCCACTTTAAGAACTCATTTTCTATGTCTGTTCCTTAAAAATAGAGCCTCAGCGTTCCCAGTTTGTGGGAATGAAAAGCGTATCACGCAACTGCTTGAATAAGAGATTCCACTGAATTTTGGTATCATAATTACAGAACTCCATATGACACTGAAGGTGCTACAAGATAACATTCAATTCAACAGCTAATAATAATAATATTATGTGGAATAATATATATAATATAATAATATTTATTATGTGGGATACGAAAAAAATGGAAGTGTCACAATATATTAAGATTTCAGTGGAATATATTCTAATATATCCTAAATAAAGGAACAGATAACAGCTAAAATCATTTCATTGACAGACAGTGACAGGGAACTATGAAAAGATTTCAACTCCCACACACTTTATGATCTCATACAAGAATATAAAACAGCACCAAATAAATAAAAAAAAAAAACAACAGTTACAGTTTGAGCTGGTATAAACAGGGTGTGGATCTTCACTGAGGCACAAAGACAACCATTTATCAAGCATCGTTTCTGAAAGAATTGTTTCCACTCAAAACATTTCCGCTCCAAATATTATTAAATTAATATCAAATATTAATATAATTAGTTTATATATAGTATATGACTAATATAATTAATATAGTTAATATATAATTAATTAGAGTGATATTTAATAATATTTAATATTAAATATTATTATTAAATATTTTTAAATAGTAATGAATTTGAGAAAAAAGCATGATTGAACATACCAAGACACACTTTAAAAGGAACTCTAAACTTTGCTGAAACTGTAATGGAAAGTTCAAATTAAGGAAAGTTTTATGCATTTCATGAAATAATACAATATAAAGGAGCAAAGGCTACAAACAGGTCTTACTGGATACGTCTGAAGAAAATGTTTCTCAACCTCAATTTCTGTAATTTCTTTTGTCATTCTAGTTCTCATTGTTTTATCTTATCTACTAAACAGTTGACATTTTAAAGAAGAACATTCATTTCTGAGAGATGCAGAATATTCTATTTGGAGAAATAAAAGTATGTCACATGGACCACTAAACATCATTTCTACACATACAATTAAGAAAAGTGAAACGTTAAAACTACTAACCGTGACACTGAATTATCCTTTGGATTCCTGCAACTTGTTCCAGGGTGTCTATGTTTTGTGTATAGTTGCGAAGCAATTTTCCTTCTTTGTCCATCAAAGCTATGAACTTGTGACAGAGGGATGGTTGGAACTGTCCTGGATATATTTCCTACAGAATTGAGAGGTACATTAGAAAGCGTAAACGAGCACAGAACATGTTTGTTCTGACTCTCCAATTGCTTCTCACTACTGAGCCGCAACTGGGCTGGAGTCTCGCCTGGGAAAGTTGGGCTTTTTCAGAAAAAGCGTAAGATTTGCTAGCCAAGATAAGGATGCTGCTGCCTACTTTCACCAATTGATACTCTGAACTGAACCAAAAGTTCTAGTGCACCAACGAACTTAGTTTGATTAATCCTTGTGACAGCTCTGCCTTCATGAAGCTACCATTTAGCTTAATCATTAACAAAATAAGACTTTTTGAAATTATTTTTTTTTCCCCCACACATTTCAAGTTACTCATAATTCTGAAGCTATAACAAGTCTATAAATTTAAACTTCAGCAGTGATCAGGGATCACTCTTGGTTGTATCACCTAGATTATGACAGGGCTATGATACAATTACTAGGAGATATTTATGTGGTCCTAAGAGTTCACATGTCTTAGTTCGTGAAGAAGTATGACGTGCTCTGCCACCAAGAACCTTACACATAAATCGGAAAGGGAAATTGTGGGAAACCAAGAAGAAAGGAAAGAAGTGTAAAAAAATTAAAAAAAAAAAAAAAAACAAGAGAGACAGACAGACTTTACTTTAAAGCAATTTAAGATTTCATGGATTAAGAAATTAATTTTCTAGCTGAACTGAAGGATAGGAAAGGGAAGATGTGAGAGAAATTATTTCAATAGCAAAATATTAGCCACGCTGGACTTGGACTATTCTGATAAAACCTGAGTATAGACTGGCTTCTCATAGTTGCATTTTCTTTAGATGTTAAAAAACCCAAGAAACTGAATACACTAAAGAGCATCAAAATATGTTAATAGCTGGCTAGGAGGCAGAACACATTGATTTTTCTTTCCCCATCTTTGGATCAATATTAGGGCAGTAGTATGAATTGTGGGCAAAGGGAGAAGACACCAGAACACTTTTCATCATGATAGCTTTTCACAAGTCCTTACTGCTCCTGTAGTAATTCTCAGAATATTTTGATTTTATAGGTTGTCCTGAGCAAATTCCAGATTAAATACAATTACTTTTTGTTTCTGCATATGTGAATTCCTTCCTGTCTCTGAGATACGCTCTCCCTCTTCCGTTAAACCATTCAACTTCACTAACATCTTTCTAAAAACTGCTGCATTCTCTCTTTTAAGAGGTGAGCACAGTCCCTACAAAAAGGGCTTTAATTCTCTAAGTTGTACTGATTCTTGTGAAAGCTATATAAAAACCTGAAACAGGAACAAACTTCTTCGTGTACACAAGTATTTTCCTCCACTTAGCTGTAAATACAGCGTTAAAATGTGAATATGTTGTATGACATTGAACAGTATGCCACTGCACGTCAGATCTGAACGTGGCTTCTGACATTACTCATGTGCTGGCAAAAAGCTCCTCACGTTCCTATTCCTTCATTTTCAGAGGAGAACTTAACACCAACTAAGAATAAATATTGAGGTTATATCAAATAATTACATTACCACAGTTTCTATTATCCTTCCTGAAATTAGAGACACCAGCTAGAATGGTTGTATATAATGACCTTATAACAGGAATAGTTACAATAAGCTGAAGAAAAAAAAAAAAAGATAAAGTGTGGCTGAATTTCTAGTAAGGCTAATACGTGGCTGCATACAATGGTTTAAGTAGCACTAAGGGTATGAATGCGATATATGTGTCACAAAGACACATACAGTAAGTCATTATGCCACTGAAAGAGGCCTCTCATTAAAGTAAATTCAATACATTAACATATTTTTCCATCTTGTTTATATATAAAAAAGACAAGGATGTTTTTTATAACCAGATATAAAACTATTCTGTTAAGGTATCTTATCACTGTTATTTATCTTTACTGTCCAAGATGAGAACAGTTGGAAAACCATACCTTTGCAAACTTAAAAAACGGCCTGGGATCCTTTCTGAAGTATTCTATATCAAACATTGCTTGAGGATCTGGAAGGTCTGGAAAGTCTACAGCAAGGCGCGCATAGATGCCATCTCTTGATCTGAAGTCAGGTATTCCACAAGACACAGAAACCTGAAATATATTTTTGCAATCTTAAATAAGCAGAACTATACATATTCAGCTATAAAGCATGGCTACAATACAACATATCTGTGAAACCACACTTCTGACTACTAACAAATATTAAGAACAAAACCAGTCTGAGTTATCCATATTTATTTTTCCATCTTTGGGGTTTTTTTTGGACCAATTCCCAAGTAACAAGCAAGCGAAACAAAAGTTTGACAACCGAAGCAAAAAACACAGCCTTGGTACAATCCATAAAGGCAGTAACAGGACACCACAACTTACTTTTAGTACTGCAAGTTCTGTAACAAGTACACAAAGATTTAAAATAGTGTTGCATTAAATTTGAATTAGGAAGCGTTCACTGATCTGCTAACTCAGGGTTGGACAAAGTGGCTGGTATTTTACATGCTAATGTAGTAACAGAATAGATTCTTACTTTTGATGAATAAAACCTTTTTGATCAACAAACTAAGCTAAGCACTGTAGTGTTGGATAAGACTATAATTTATTGTCCCAGACTACCCAAAAATACTACGAGAAGAGGAGGAGAAAAAGGTGTATAATAGCAATTACAGAACGAGCAAGATTGGGTAATAGAAGTAGCAGTGCTTTTCTCACTAACTGGTCTGATTTGGATTACTCATCTTTTCTGAATAACGTCACCATATATGTCTCCATGTATGAACAACTGACTTTTGTGCCACGATCAGGTTCGTAGATATAAAGCTGAAAATGTACAACTGTTCAAAAGTCTTGATTAGTAAAACAGCGAGTAATCTTACTACTGTAGCAGAGCAGCACAACTTAAAAGCAGAATTCAGTCTACTGAAATCCAATCAAAGTCCTGTTATAATTCTTTTTCTTTTGAGTCCTATTCTTCTACTCCTTCTAGCCCAGTCAGCATATTGTAAGAGATCCACTGAGATTTCATTAAAAAACGTTACCTTTGTTTCAAAAGAAAAAAGACTAGAAAGTGTTCTGAAACGGGTAGATAAGATTTTATTCCGCAATCATTTTGCACGAATACTAGGCAAGATATGAAGCAATTGTTTAAGAGTTTAAATGTTTAAGACTATTTTCTTAAAAGAAGAGATCTTGTCATTTCCAGTTTTAAATTCCAGTCTTGCAGTGCACATCATTCTAGTGGACAGCTGTACCTCCTCGTCTCATCTGATACCAGTTATCTGATCACAAATATTCCTGGAGCCAGATCACCTGCATGCGGTAAAGTGCTGAACAGAATTTAACCAATTATCTATATAGTCTCACACTGTCTTTGTGGCAATACGTACCCCTGCTCCAGTCAAGACCATTATTTTTTTGCATTCTTGTAAAAGTTTCACAGCATCATCAATAGTATTAATATCTTTTCGTTTTTTTCTTTTCGGTGGTTCTGAAAGAATGTTTATAACAATTTGCCACAGTGTCATGTCATCCAGTTCAGGTGGAGGGATTGTTTCTGGTAGTAGGTCTTTCAGAATCGTCCGTGGGTCTGTACCTAACATGAGATGTTGCTGAACAAAAGTGTAGGGACCTAACAAAGAAAATTAAAAAACATACATATAATTATTTGAAATCAACATTCAAGTCGTTCAGGTGATCATGCTCACTATTCCATTTTTTAATGCTCGCTACTTCATTTTATTAATCCAGTGTAATGGCTTGTTTCTCAAAAACCATGCATGTCTTGCTCTAAATTCTGAAGTGGTAATACAGCTGGGATTTTTTTTTTTTTTTTTTTATTATTTTACATTAACCCATGACGGACTTCTTAGAAAGTTCATCAAGGTAAAATTATAGTTCGCAGGACGCTTGGAGACTCTTAAAAGATCACATATTTAGAAACATTATTTTCACAAAGTATCTCCATTTTATTACTTCATTCTTTGTATTTTTCCAATATTTTGTAAGATATATACACAAATAAGTTGAAGAGACAACGTACATATGCGTACCTTCTAATCATGTTATAAAACACCACTCTAAATGGACAAATAGGGCTGACCAACAACTGGATTTTTTGTTGTTCTACCCCTCATGATTCCAGGCAGGATTTCCTAAAGCTATCAAATCAATCTTTCCAAAAACGCTCAGGAATAGAGAGGTAGAAGAAGGAAAAAAAAAAAAAAAGGTAAGCCTTAAGAAGCTAAACAAACAAATAGGATCCAAACAGCTACCATTAAGGCTAGTTACAATACACCTAAAAGAAAAGAAACATCACATATGTTTACCCTAAAGGTACATGCAGTGATTCTGCATGTACCCATTCTGTAACATGGGATCAGCAACATACGGGCAGATTTTCAGTGAAATACTGCATTGCCTTAAGATGTTCTCTTGCTGCTATTCTTATCAAGAGTGGCAAAGTCATCACTGCAGTACCATCGTGCCCGTGTAAGACACAAGACCTCAAGTTCCAACCCCAGCAGGACCTGGGAGCCCCTTCCCCACACAAGCCACCAGTCACCTCATCAGCGCTTGTCTCACCTCTGTGCAAGGCAAGATCTACTGTTTTCTACTGAGTTCCCAACTGCCATGCTTAACTTCACAAATGCAATAGCTAGGCCAACTAATAATTCCCAAAGTGATATAGCACTTAGGCCAGTAAGCCCTACAGACTCACGTGCCTAAAATCACATAAGAACGTGTCTTGTTCCTTCAAGTATGAATAATGCTAAGTAAATACGTTAGAAATATGCCATAAATCTGTTCAACGCAGTGAGTTTGTGTGCCTACTTTTAACGTAGATCAGGGCAGGATTTCTGCACAAAAAAGCTATTGACAATTTTAATGACAATACAGCAAATTTAGAGAGATGCACTTTTAATCTCCTTAAACATCACACAGAATACCGTCAGCAATTCCAGGCTGCTGAAAAGGCAGTAACTGTAAGTCTTCTGCAACAGCAAAATAAATCCTTTGAAGACTGGGAAGAATTAAGTAACACTTCAAAAGTAAACTGAAGCTAGAAGAACGGTATATAAGTTTCTACCTATACGTGGTCTTGGAGTCCAATCACTAGAACTTGCATGTGAGGCTCTGTCATCATCATCACTGTCACAGGAATGGAAACCATTGGCTATGACTTCATCGCTAAAAAGGAAGTTATCTGCAAGACAGCACAACAGGGACATATTACAACGCTTGAGCCAAATGGCACAGGTACATATTTAAATATATCACAAAAACTAAAATGGTACACTTTTAAAGTTGACTTGCAATGAATTACAAATAGTATGACAGGCAACTTTGCTATTTAAAGACAAAATTTCTATCCTACATTTACCTTTTTTTTTCCCCTCAAGTTTGTAGATATTATTAGAATTACTGCAGGATTTATTATATTAATACCGGCCTTCAGTGGCCTGGATGTTGGCCTTAGTGACTTTTCATTCTATAAAGTGCTGGGCACTACGGTTTTTTGTATTTTTTAAAACAATTCCAAATGTCTGACAATTGTAATTCCTTTCTCCTACAATCTTCACTTCACACAGCTCTCATTCTGAGACTGAATACAGTTAAATTAATGCACCACCATTTACAGATCAGTCGTCAACTAGATTTTAAGAGCACAACACTAAAAAGACCCACAAATACGCAGTCAGATACAGCTGAGTTACACACATTTGTTGGGCTGCTATCTGCCAGCTGAGCTGCAATAGCTGACCACATTTGCTGTCATAACTGAAACAGGATAAAAGCCTGTACACACTGTACACACTTTTATCCTGTTACAGTTATGACAGAAAACGTGCTGTCTTCAACCATCTGCATGAAACTCAACTCACCCATTTTACCTTGCAGCAGGGTTTGGTTAAGAGCACCACAGAGCTAAGGCCGCTGGCTGAGCCTAAGCAAGCCAGAGTTAACTCCATCTAACTCGACTGTGCGTCTAGATTAGGGAGCCCAGAGAGGAAAGGGGTACTTGTTTCACAACACGCGTTAAGCTCACTGACGGAACGGTTAGAGGGAAGCGTCAATGTCACCCTCAGCACCTTATCAGAATATTACCCACTAAGACTTTTGGTTTGTCCTTTCCATTTGTTAGAAAACAGGTACAGCAACTGTAGCTTAATTTGTTGAAAAATCCAAGATCATAACCAAATGAGGACAAGTTACAGTCATCCTCTCCAAAGCAAAGAATCTTTATAGCAGTTTTCAACCTTCAAAATAGTGTTTCAGCTAGGTTACTTCACTCTTAAATAAAGAGCACCACAGAACACTATTTTTTATTCAGAGACTGCGTTGTCACATTCTTCACCTTTTCCTCATTTGCATTAATACTTTATTCTGATTGGAATGGAAAAAGAGTAGAGGACAGAACTGCACTTTTATATTTGCTGTTTTGTTCTTCTGCACTTACTATTTCTTATTATTAATCCAGACACTTGCAGCAGTTTTTCATTCCATCTCATCATGCATTAGTACTGATGTGTGCTAATCACTTCTTCATAACTCTTTTCTTCATAATTGCAATTATGAAGAAAGAAAACAAGTGATTAGTACACATCAGTAAATGTGAAGTGTTAAGTTTTAGTAAAACTACCTCCTATGTCTACCATGTAAGGAATCAAAGCTACATTGTTAAAAGACTCAAATCACAGAAAGGTCACCCATTATCTTGTATTTATGAAATGCTGTGATAACCAGGCTAAAGTAACTGTTTAAATTGTAACACTCCCTGTGCAGTTATTTGATTCCTCAGAGGAATAAAGGCAATTCTTGCCAGAAGTAACTGATACAAAGCAGAACATGCCCAGGATTTGAGTAACTTGAGCAAGAAGGCTTCGTCCAAGGCGTTTACAAAGGAATCGTTAGTTCAACTCTCCTGCTGCTCCAATGAAGTTTTGGAGCAACGGGGCTGTCCACGCACGCCGTGCGGCCCCTGTTCCCTTCCGCACAGCTCCGCCACCAGCACAAGTTGTCTGCAGAGCTTCACTCAGCTTAAAGGAAAAATATCTTTTACTGCATGTAAAGGCCTTACTGGCAGAACGCAACGTCTTTTACTGTTTAAGAAGTCTCTCCCAAGTACCACCTTAAAAAAAAAAATTCAAGGTCCTTGCGTACAGATACTGCCCAAACAGCATGCCTGCAAAGCACATGTTTTTAGAGGCCGAGAGTTCAGTTTCGCGCTCCGGCCGCTGACATCGCAGACAGGGCTGTAACTAGAGTTTACTGCAAGAGCTGGTGGAGACAGCTGCTCCTGTCCCTTTCACAAACGCTTCTGAGAAGCACAAGCGCAAATACGTTATCACAGCAGCAATCGTGAGGAGGAAACGGGGCTCGGGATTTTTCATTTCCAATAACTCCTTACTGCCAAAAACACAGCTCCCAGACAACAAAAACAAGAAAGAAAGAGAAAGAAAGTGTCAGAGACGCGAGCGGAGCCGGCCTCCC